CTTTCCCATCTACTAAAAGTCATTGCTTACAAAATTATCTTCTCTCTATTCTATAAATTTTCCACTCTTTGAAATCATTCCCTTCAGCCTATAAACATGTTCTAATATCTCACATCTTAAAATACATTCCCTGTATCCTATGTCTGTTTTTAAGGCAAAATGATCTCAAAGAGTCGTGTATGCTTCTTTTCATTATTGCCACACCTCTCATTTTCTTTTTCCTTTATCTTTCAATAACTTTAAAACAAAACTTTATTACAAGCACATTTCAAACATACACAAAAGTAGACAGAACAGTATACACTATAATAAACTGTCTATCTACCTACAACCCAACCTCAACAACCATCAATCCAAGCCCAATCCTGGCCTATTCTGCATTATTCTAAGCAAACAGAATATTCAAAGCAAGCATTATTTAAGCAAATCCCAAATATTATACTATTTTTTTGTACTTATTTCAGAATTTACCTCTGAATTTTTAAAAAACATAATCATAATACCACTATCCAGACATAAAAAATGAGCAATAATTCTTAATATCAAAAATCACTTCCAATTATCTCATACATAAATTTTAAACAATTTAAAAATCATAGTTGATTCAAAGTCCATAGAATACAACTAGTGAACATGTCTTTCACATCTTTTAATCTATAGGTTCTCCTGCTATCTTTTGATTTCCCATGTAATTTATTTGTAGAAGAAACTGGGGTGATGTAGCTTTTCTCATATTCTGAATTTTGCTGACTATATTCCAAGGTGTAATGGAACATATTCCTCTATCTTCTTCCCATAAATTGTTAATTGGCTTTAGAAGATGATCAGACTTAGGACCAATTTTGTTGGCAAAGCTAGTTAATGGGTGATACTGCACCCTTACATTAGAATATAATGTCTGATTCTATCTATTTTTGCGATGCTATCAGCATTGATGTTCAATGCCGAGATCCAATAGTTCATTACAGGTCTCAAAATAGTTAAAATTCTAATTCTATCATTCTGCATTTATTCAATGAATACTTTTATTAAGAAAAACATTCCTTACTATAAGGACTGTTCTTAATAATGAGGAAGACAGAACAAAAGTTTTTTTCCCTTTAAATTTATGTTTTCCAAGAGTGACATCAGAAACACGGCGGAGTGAGAGACTTCCCCAATCTCTCCCCATGAAACAACAAATAAGCTGAACATCTAAAACTCAGCAAAACTCAAACTGCACACCAGCACGTCTAAGTGTGAGATCTATGCATAAGAGCTACCACAGGGAGTCAGACAGTTGACTGGGAGAAACAAGGAAGTTACTCTATCAGCCTGAGCTCCCTGCAGGAGGAAAGGGAGGAGAGAAGATGGGGCGAGATTCCCCGAACACCCTGCTTGAGAGAGCTGAGAAGCCAGTGGCAGAGCTCAGGCATCAGAACAGAAAGCAGAGAAGTGGGAACAGCAAAGAAACAACAGTTGATTATTACCAGCCCTGGTTACAAAAAGGCAAGGCTGACCCGCAATTCCCATCCCCCAATCCAGAAGGCCTCTCCTGACATATCCTCTGAGATTGAACACCCCAGGGAGCCCTAGGGGAATCAGCAAATGCTACTA